CATGAGACAAGTAGATTTGTAAAAAGTTCAACAGCATGAAAAATTTATTAAGGTTCACGTCCCGTCAAGGCCAGAGATGACCCCCGTCGACAGTCTCCGTCCTACCAGAAAGGTGCAGAAAATATGTGGAGAGGCGGGGACCGGGTTGGTCATGAGGAGAAGAGTCTAGGATGCGAGAACTGCGCGAAGACCTGGAATGTGTGAGGCCACAGTGATCACGAAGGCGAGAATGCAGCGAGAAACAAAAAAGAATGACGTGATTAAAGGGACATACTTCCGCGCTACGCTACTCTCAATGTACAACACTTGCCTCGACTACAAGATCCCACAGCGAAACACACACTCAATGGTGGAGAACAACCAGAAGTAAGAGGGCGCAGACAAAAAGTGCGTTTGGCTCCGATTAGGCGTGCGGCATCGCAGGCGGAGTACGCAGACGGCACCTGGAAAGTAGCTCGTCAGTACAGCTAGTGACCCATTCAATTCACAAATGACAGGACCAGGATCCAGGGAGGTGAATGTATATTTATGATTATATGAGTTCCTATATGCTAATCGACTCCAGTGAAGAAAAGATGGGATAGAGCCGTCAAATACCGCCTTAAAAATGCATAGAACTGGACGAGTATTGTAGGAAGGGAGACATTACGGTATGGATGAGAGATCCGAGGCAAAGGATGAGAGAACAGGAAAACGAGCTAGAGGACGAGAGGGACCACAGATCGGTCCCGCAAGAATGAAGGGAACGCGTCACGCCCCTGTTTATATAGGGCCGCTGCCAAATCTCGTCCCCAAATGCGTTAAGCACCTTCTACGGGTTGTGTAGCTAGGGCTCATAACAGCCGCAACGCCTTTACTACCCACTGTGGGGCTACTAAAGTAAAAAAACCTTCGAAATTGCGGGCGTTTATGCGAGGAGATTTCTGTCCGTTTGGTAATCGCGGAAGCTGTCTTTAATGATCCTACTTGATGGGTTTGAAAAGTCAGTAATTTTGTCAGCTAATGCATATTCCACAGTATTTTACACAACAGATTGATGTAGTATGTCAGAGACAGTAGGTTAAACAAGTAAAACTGATGTGCTTATGGTGAGTACGTATTCAAGAGCTATTTGTTGATGAAGAAGATGATACATTTTTGATGGGCGCTGTGTAAGGCGTGTAGCGACCATTTACCCATAAAAATCATCACAATGTGGTCCAAGGCACATCATTGTAATGTGTGAATCAGCTCTGTCAGTGCGACCCCCTCCTGCCGAAACTATTCATCCAGTATGATATCCTACACCGAACCCCCCCCCTCCCTTCGCCCCTTTCCACCAATCTACCTAAAATTTTCCAAAACCTTACCAGTCCACCTATTCATCCAGTGCGACATCCTACACCGACACGCATCCCCCTTCGTCCCTTTTCACCCATCTTCCTGGAATTTTCCAAAACCCTACCAGTTCTCCCAGTTTCCCAAAAATTC